TGGCTTGCCCTATTGACTGGAAAACCTGAAAGGAATCAGGTGACTTTTGTATAAAAGGAGTCAGATTTATGTGTTGAGAGGACCAGCTGGAGAAAGGCTGGATGGAAAAGACTGCAGGTTTCCAGAAGGCACCTATAGGTCCTGGAGTCAGCAGGGAGGCCTGGGAGATACCCTGAATAACTGGGGATGAGACTGGGAGATTCAGAAGGGAGGAAAGAGCCAGTTAGGCATTGGCCTAGAGAAAACTGCCATGTGGGTAGAGGGTTGTGACTAGCTGTGCATCACAGGACCCTGGGCTGGAACCCAGAGTTGAGGATGAGGCTGGGTTCCCCCACTGGCCCCATGGAGGGAGTTACAAGCCTTTCAGAAGGGTAGTTGAGCTCAGCACGGGGCCTGCAGACAGAATTGAGGACTCTCTGAAGTAGAGCCCCAGAAAGGGCAGAAACTGTGTTCTGTTTCTGTTAAGGACATTTTGGACAATTGGGACCTGGAAGGGGTAGACTAAAGATGGTGACCCCACCGGAGGACCAAGTTACCTGACAGAGAAAACACCACAGTGCTGAAGCAACTGCCAAAAGGGGGCACTATCCTGACGTGAGAGCTGTGGCACCATGCCTGCCCACGAGAGGGCTCATAGTGGTGAGTAGACTAGCAGTGAGTTACACAGGTGAAGATAGATGTTGCCCCCACCTGCCGGGCCGGATCCACACTTACCTCTACACCAAATAGCTGGGGAAGGAAGGTGCAGTGGCTTCTGTTATAACTTTTAGCCAGGGGTTAGGGAACTCACCTGGGATGTGGGAGCCCCCCAGTTCAATTCCCCCCTTTGCCTGATGAGAAGGGATTTGAACAGGGGTTTCCCGCCTCTCCTCCTCATCCCAGCACCCAGCTGCTTGGTCTGGAGTTAGGCATGTGCTGCCTCTGTTCTTGCAAGAAACAGCTTAGGCACATGACTCCAGGAAAGACTCCCTCTGTGGATCCCAAGCAGAGATAGGTATCTTCCTCCAGCCTAGACTTGGGCCACTAACTCTGAGAGGGTGCTGGGGCTTAGAACCCATCCCTCTCCTTGTCATCTGGTATTGTCTCGTTTAGGCAGCTCCCCACCTAGTGTGCTGGCTTTTATAGATCCCATTCTCGGGTGACTCTCTCTCCCCTTGCATTACAGAGGGAGCCTAGGTGTCTAACCCAGCGTTTGTGGCTTCCATTGGTTGGCTAGTCGCCTAGAAGTTAGGTGTTGAAATGTTCAGTGCAGTGCAGTGCAATGCTTTTGAATCAGCTGTATTTGAAAAATACACTTTGGTGCATTCCGAGCACATGTGAAATAAATTGCTGATTACATCTGATTCCTCCTTTATAAGTACAATGATACAGGGAAATAGCGGTAAGATCATATGTTGGTGTTGTAAAAGGTCATCTCCAGAGGAGAGGGAGGGTGGGTTGTGGAATATACATCTGCACCCACACTTTGAAGAACAACAGTTACAATACAGTAAGTAACCCTCCTTTCTTCTTCGAGTGGATGCAGATGTGCATTCTGCTCAGGTGACTCACCACCAGTACTCTCAGGAGGTGGGAGTCAGAGTCCACTTAAACAATGACTGCAGAACTGCCTTCCCAAAGTTTGCGTCCAACCTAGATGCCATGGTATATGCATAATGTTTGGCAAAAGTATGTATGGAAGACCATGTAGCAGGCCTGCAGATGACCAGTATTGAAACATCACTAAGGCTATGTCTCCACTACCGCGGTAAGTTGACCTACACTATGCAACTCCAGCTACGTGAATAACATATTTGGAGTCAACGTACCTTATGTCGAATTACCGTGGGGTCTACACCGCGGGGGGGGGGGTCGATGGGAGAAAATCTCCCGTTGACTTACCTTACTCTTCTCATCAGGGGTAGAGTACAGGGATCGACTGGACAACAATCTGCAGTTGATTTGGCAGGTCTTTACTAGACCCGTTAAATTGACTGCCAGTGGATCGATCTCAGAGCATCGATCCCGTAGTGTAGACCTGCCCTAAGAAATGCAGTGGATGTCACTTGGGCTCTTGTGAAATGAGCCTATATTGACTGTGGGAATGTAGCCTGAGCTACTTCAAAAGCCATGATAATGCAGGAAGTTATCCACTGGGAAATTGTCTTTGTAGAGAATGGTGGAACATTCATTCAATCCACACAGGAGACAAAAAGCCAACGTGATGAACAAAATGGTTTAGTCCTTTCCAGATAGGACACCAAGCACTGCTTCACCTCTAACGTATGGAGATGTCACTCATCTTGATCTGAGTGCAATTTACGGAAGAATATAGACCCCGTTATTATTGCAGAAGGCCGTGTGGGGACCAAGACATCTTTACAGTCAGCTCTGGATGCAGCGCATGCTTCATCCAGACTTATGGCATACTGAAATGAAGTTGGTACCAGACCCCCAGATGTAGACTGCACTGGAATTGCCATTGGTACTGAAGATAGCATCTGCACTGGCAGTCTCCTCAGTATCAAACTGGAAGCTGACTGAAACCCAGGGCCCTGGGTATGAGGTAGTGTAGATGATAGTGCTGACACTGATAAGTCGGTCACCAATGCTGGGGGTGCCAACAACGCCGAAGGCAAGACCACCATAGTCAAATGCTCTTGAATAAGTGGTGAGTCAGGAACAGGCAAGCCCAGCAAGTCCACTGCTTCCTGATACATTGGCAGTGTGGAGACTGTTGGTGCCGACATCACTGTCATCAGTACCAGACTCAACGGACATTACTTTGGAACAGTACTGGAGTTGATGGTACAGAGTCGGTTGACGACCTGGCTCTTTCCCACTTACAGGGAGACTCACATGCCAGTCTGCATTCCTCCTAGATGGGGAGGAAGAAGAATCTCTTCAGATTCTGGAGCAGCCTCAGGTTCGTTTTGTGGGTTCTCTTCTTTGGGGAACCAGAGAAAGGGGAATGATCCCTCTTCCTCCTGGGTGAATGAGTCCGGACATGGACCCTAAGTCCATACTGGTTCAGGAGCTCTCTGAAGGAACCTGAGGATCTGTGGAAGTCCCTGGAGCTGAAGTGGGCCTCAGGGCCTCCTCCATGAGGTGCTTCTTCAAACCCAAGTCCCTTGCCACCTATGATCTCTTCTTAAAGGACAAGCAAATAGAGCACCTTTCCTTAATGTGCTCTTCCCCAAGGCACAGTAAACATCAAGTGGGGGTCACTAGTAAATATAGCCACCCCACACAGTGCAAAATGTTTGAAACCCAAGGAAGGCATGACCCCGGACTAAACTCTAATACCTACATGACACTTAAGGTACTACTAAACTAACTATTTACAGAAAAAAAAAACAACCACTGAAACACTGTGAGGTGAACACCACACTGAATGCTCTGATTCAAGCTGCAGGCAGTGAGAAAAAACTGAGGTAGGTTAGGGCAGCACTAGCCTTATATAGCCACGGAGGGGCTTCTAGGGCCAGAGAACGCAAGCACCGCCCTGATGGGTATTGCTAAGCACAGTTCTCTGGCTTCGGTGTACTAGGCACGTGTATACCTGGGTGAACTATGTATCTGCAACCACTCAAAGAAGAACTAGTAGGTCTTCTAAACGTAAATGTAAAATATTTCTGTCCACAAAAAATGTGAAGACCTTCTGCTTTTGTCTTCTTGTCCGTTCCAGAAGAAACTAGAATTTTAAAGGACAAAGTAAGTTCTCTACTGACAGAGCACTCATTATGTTGCCCAGAATCAGTATGAGGCAGGAGCTGGTTGTCTAGGTCCCTCCTTAATTACGAGGCAAGTAAATCAAGAATGACACTGACTTAAACATCTATACTTGAAATTCACTCTTATTCATTCTTGTCAGAATCCTGGCAATCTGATGCTCTGATTTTATCAATAATTACACGTGTTTAGCTTTAATTTTATGAATAGGCCTAGTGTGTTCAGAAGGACTATCTGTTTGCAGGACCAGAGCCCAGGACTGTAGTTGGATATGGAAACTTAAGGCATATACTGAAGCTTATTTTTTCTTAGAAATAACCTAATTACTGCTAATAATTATTGATTAATAATACTGCCTTCCATATGATCTTCCATCCCCAAATATGCCTATTCCACTTTCTGCAGCATCTGGGTTTCTTTTGCAGATCTCCCATCAAAATGCTGATTCCCTGCTTAACTTTGCATTGCTCAATAAGTCTGATAAAATCACAAGCTAATGCTCCATGTTTGCACATTATTAAAGATAATGGCTACAGCTGGATTAAGACTTACTTACATTGCCAGTTTCCTGTTCTTTTTCAAAGTATGTAACGAATGGACAAATTTACGTCTCTGTGGCTTTAAATTTATCACTGTCCTTGAAAGAAATTCAAATGCTTTTATACATTTATACCTACAATATATACTGTATAACTTTGCTATTTTTCCTTCTTTCTTTCCTTCATCTTAATTAACAGCTATTCCTTGGCACCAGTTCCAGTTGCTGTGAGCAGCCATTGGCAGAGTATGCCAATACCTACGCCTTCCCACTGGAGATTTTTTTTTACCACATGCTTAAGCATGACCTTCGTCGAAAATGACAGAAACCCTGTGGGACCTCTTTCAGACCAATAACTATGAAGTCTAGAGGGGGTAAAATGTTATATTAAATTACATGATGCTTCCTTGAAGTATAGTCTGTCCCAATTCCACTCCCCTGACTCTTTCAAATGATTGTAACGTTTCCCATGCGCATACCTAAAAGTAAGTTTAATTTATGACCCGCGTTGCATTTTAAATGTTTAATTAAGTTAGTGGTTAGAACTGACTCATAAACCCATAAAAATGGAAAGTGGTAAAATAATTATTCACTGCACCTGCCCTCCAAATAATTAGCACCATTCATTACCCACAATCAGCAGTAATGGTGCTAAAAGTTAGCTATCCAAGCAGTTATAAAAATAAGGGCAGACCTTGCAAGCAAAGCTGGGAAAAAATCAACAAAAATCTTTTGCAAAAGAAGGACTTACATATTTCCTTTGCCATCATACACCCATCTGGTGCTGCCAATTCCTTCAAAATCTGAGGCCCAGTAATAAATACATGCATTAATGTGCAAGATAAACAGCAGGTATCCAGTTGTTCGAATGACTCTGTAAAGGACAACATATTGCAAATCACAGTTGATATAATTCCTGGAAAACAATTTGTTTTTATTTTCCCTTTAATATGGAACTCCCTGATTTTGATCAATAGCTGTATTAATAACGGCTATTACTTGCCACAATACAGCACCTTGACCGGTATTTGCTAGCTGTTTTTCCACTGTGCCATCTCCTGCCTCTGCCTTCCTGCAAAGGCCAAATGAATCACCTTCATAGAATAGTGAATTTACAGATTCGGACTAACACGGCTACCCCTCTGATACTTCATAGAGTAGTTGATGCAGGGTCATTCCTAAATTATGTTTCTCTTAGGACTTCATAAACCATTGGTTTAACTGGTTATAAATGTTTATAGAAAGGTGAAACTGTATTAATGGGATTGTAGAGTATGAATCAATGTATTGTAGACTCTGCTGAAGACAGGCTCAGGGCTGGAGCAGAAATTATGTGTATTGAGAGCTGCACGAGGAAGCTTGCAAAATGCCTGTTCCTGCCAGTACTTTTGGTTCCTCAGTCTCTTGAGTCTCTTGAGCCAGCACATCCCTCGCCCGCGCCGCTTCCCGCTGCCCCCATTGGCCCGGGACGGCAAACCGCGGCGAGTGGGGGCCACAATCGGCCGAACCTACCGCATCAGCAGGTAAATAAACTGGCCCGGCCCACTAGGGTGCTTACTCTGGTGAGCCGCGTGCCAAACGTTGCCGACCCCTGTATTAGGTTGTAATATATAGATAATATTGTCCCTTCCTTTTGAATGTAACTTCTGTGCCTAAATCTCATAAAATAGTTGGTTTGTAATGCAAGAATCCCAAGTCTATCATTTAAATGTAATTGTCTGAAATATAACAAGGTGTCATGGAAGGGATTCTTGCTCCCACGGCAGCAGCATACAAGAACCCATATAAGCCCCAGAGCTGCGTGGAGGAAATTTTTCCGGATGCGGGCATTACATAGGGCAACCTGTGCTGCTCTACAAGCCACACTTGGTATAAGGCAAATGACATTGAACAACTGGGGGCGAGGGGGCGGGGCTGATTAAGTTGGGAGCAGCATTATGGGCATTCTTAGCCACAGTGCAGCCCATAGGGTAGTGCTGTTATTTAGGAGCTGTTTTGCTTCCTAGAGCAGCCTGCAATAAAGAAGGCACAAAGTCGCCACTCTCCAAGGTCTATGCTGCATTGATTCTCACCCCATGTTCAGCTAAGAGAGTGATTGGAGGAAGATTCTGTACATAGCAAAGGCAAGGTGAAAGCAGTGCATAAAGAAAAACATTCAAACAACCTTGGTATCATGACTGCTGCTATGTGCCAGAAAACTACCACACAGAATCTCACTTCAGCCATAAGCAAAGGAAGTCTCCAGTAATGATCCCATTAAATAAACCCTTTATGGGTCTTCAGATTCTGTCTGGTGTGGTGACTTGTGCCCCTGATAATAATAATAATACAAAATAATATATGGAGATATACCTATCTCATAGAACTGGAAGGGACCCCGAAAGGTCATTGAGTCCAGCCCCCTGCCTTCACTAGCAGGACCAAGTACTGATTTTGCCCCAGATCCCTAAGTGGCCCCCTCAAGGATTGAACTCACAACCCTGGGTTTAGCAGGCCAATCAAACTGAATGGAATGGGATAACTCGTATGAATAAAATTACCCATATACATTAGTGTTTGTAGGGTCAGGGCCTATAATGAAGAGAGACAGTTAAAAAATAACCGAGAGGAGTCGTTTGGGGTTTAGCATAGTCAACACTGTGCTTGACTGACAACCTGGGAGACAGAATGCAACCCCCACAACCAAAAAGGCTTTGTCTGGACTGGTGGGAAAAAGGGCAATGGCTCCTTTAAGGGTCCCCCCACCCTTGGGGTTGGGAGTTGGGGTGACCAGTAGTTGAGAAAAGGTATCATCTGAGCCAGTGGATAGGCTGGTGGGGCTTAAGTAAGCCATTAACCCCTGCATACCTGGGGAAGGGTACCCTGTCCCCCCTTTCATGCCTGGATTAACAGCTCTTCTCTCCCCTTTTTGGTCTGTTGTAGTCATTGCATTAGTTGCCTTTTTTGGGACTGTGAAAAGTCATGCCTGGCATCTTGTCTTTCTTCCCGCATGTTCAGGACAATGATTGAAATTCTGTGCCAACCTTTGCATACTGTAAGTCTACCCCTCACATACCTGTAGATGTATGCTTTATCCAGGATAGCTTCCAACCGGTCATTGAACTCAAAGAAGGCCATATGCTAGACGGAAACCAAATAAAAGCAATTGAACCATTGTCCTTATAACATATATTTTTCTAATGGGACTAACATTGGTTCACATACATATTTTGAAAATAATGTATTTTTCACTTGTCTGACATTCCTTAAACATCTAGTTTAAAGGTGAACTGTGAAGCTAAAATGAAAAATTGAGCTCAGCATAGATTTTGGGTGGTGTTTGTCCCTATTAGCTATGTTATGGATGATGTCTTGTCATTAGGGGAGTCATTTCAGTAAAATTTGGAGCAGGGCAAAGTTATGTCGGCATATAGAATATTACAAGATATAATCACGTATAAAGTTGGTGGAGGCAAAAAGTGGCACATACAGACCTATGAAAAGTCTGGGGGTGGGGGCAAACCAACGTATGGGAGGGGCAACTGACCTCTTTGTCCCATAGCAAATGACGTGCCTGCTTGCCATTTACTGTGATGACTGATGATGTTGATGAATGACTTTTTACTCAGTTAAAAATTTACTTGCTTGGGCTGAACATAATTTTGCCAAAGTAAATTAATCATTTAAAAAAATCCTTTCCCCTCTTCTTGAAATCCCTATCATTTCCTAGTTCGTTGAGGGTATCCCAGACTGTAACATCACTTGAGGTCTCATGATGAATTTTTAAAGGTTAGTTAATCTACTCCTCTGTTGAATTCCTCCCACATTAACTATTTTTACTTTAGTTTTGCTATACGCCTTTAACATTAACAGGTACTTTTTGCTGTTTTCTGTCTAGCACAAATTTACTTGCCTGATATTATATAGCATTTTGCTTTACATTCTTCCTTACCATTTTGGTTCCGTGTTGCCAGTCAGGACATTAAAAATCAATCAAACCAATGCCACCCCTTCTCACCAGCCCAAATTTCTTAGTCAGTATAGGGCTACTAAATATGATAAGGGAAGCTATTTCCTTAGGTAAATCTTTAGCATAAGTTTGCATATAAAATAGACTTCCAGAAAGGGTTTTGCCACTATAACAGATGCCATTCCCATTGTGCAGTGCTTAGATAATGTGAAAAGTGCTTTGTACATGTAACAAAGAGAGAGATTTTGACATTGACTAATTCAGCAGGGAGTTTTTCAAGGGCAGGAATAGTAAAATGCCAGGGCCAAAGGGTGGCAGTTAGCCACGAGCCTGAGTTGGGGTGGGAGGTGGGTGGGTATGTGGAGCTCCACTGCCTTATTGGCAGCTCAAAAAAAAATGGGCTGATGCAGGGGGCTGTGCAGGCTGCACCTTCCCATGATACAGCTGACCTGTTCTGCAAGGTGATGTAGAGATGGGGCAGAGTTATAATCTGTCTCTTTCCCACCCCCTCCGTACTGGGTGCTGTACGTTTCTTGCACTTGATAAGAAAAATATGCTTATGTTTATTAAATGGGCAGTGTAAGATATATGCTGTCCTTAACCATCCACTCCCTTGCTTTTAAGTGATTGAATTTTGTAAGTGATGTGATAGGTAAGCAGTAAGTACATTATTCTCATTTAGCAATCTTAACTGGTTTTTTACATGTTTTTTTGCAAATTAAATAGGGTATTTAAAACAATTTCAATTTAAACTAGTAGAAACAAACTAGTCTAGATCACAGAAATATTGTTTACAAGTCAGAAAGTAAATATAAGTAAAATCAGCTGAAAAATAACCAGAACAATTATCCTATTATTAAAACAACATATTTTACTTATTTATTTGGTGGTAGTTTGATTATGTAGCTTAGATTCTTAGAAAGAAGAAACATTCACAAAATCAAAAACTAAAGACTCCCAAATATTTATACTAACTCTTCAATAGTTTTTAAACTTTTCATATTTTCCAGTGGACGAGCAGTCATAATAAATTCTCTGGTCTTACCTTTAACAGCTTGTTTGCTCTAAACACTGGGTTAAACCCAAAGATGAAGTATAAAACATCAGCTGGTATTACTGATGCCGCATCAAGCTGTTGAAGAGCATAGTCCAATTAAGACTTGACAATGACTATAACTTGTTTACATTCTGTAGTGAACATGGCTAGATTTAATAATCATTGCACATGAAAGTTGAACAGTCAACATACACTGTCCATCTATCTCTGAGTAACTGACAAGCAACACCATCTCTAGGAAAACACCAGGAGCTTTCTTCTGCCCTTACTTCTCATGTCTCAGATCAACATGTCTCAGATTTTCATATAGTTACTGAGGATTATTAACAATGTCTTGGATATTTAACTATAGCATTGCTCTTAATAATTAAATGATGTGGGCTCAGTTGTGGTGCCGATGAACCTGAAACATGACGAGGGTTTAGGAGAGGGGGTGAGGGCTCACCTCACAATCATTTCTGAGAAGTATTATGATTTTCAAAGCCATAATACCTCCAGGGACCTGTGGGGAGCACGAGGAAGGGCACCCCCTGCTATAACTATACAACAGGTGTAGGCAATGCTTCCTTCAAGGCAATCATTCTCTTCTATCCCATTCAGGATCTTTTATTGCCCACATTATCATAGTTTCAGTGTGCCTTCCAATAAGTGTATTTTTCACATGCGGTTCCCTCTTTTTCTTCCTGATTCTTTCCAAGTGGAAACTCTGCTTTGGGGAGAGAAAGGAAGCTGTACCAACCAGGTCAGGGGTCTCAAACTCAATTTACCTTAGGGCCAGTGCCAGTTCTCAAATCCTCCCAGAGGGCCAATGTCACTCATGCCACCCAGAACCCGCCCCCCAAAAACTCCACCCCCCACCTGCCTAAGGCTCTGGGATGGAGTTTGGGTGGGGGAGGAGGTCTGGGGTA